TGTAGTCAACCTGTGGAACTCCTTTGCAGAGGAGGCTGTGAAGGCTAGGACTATAACAGAGTTTAAAGAGAAGCTAGATAATTTCATGGAGGTTAGGTCCATAAAAGGCTATTAGCCAGGGGATAGAAATGGTGTCCCTGGCCTCTGTTTGTCAGAGGCTGGAGAAGGATGGCAGGCGACAAATTGCTTGATCATTGTCTTTGGTCCACCCTCCCTGGGGCACCTGGTGCTGGCCCCTGTCGGCAGACAGGCTACTGGGCTAGAAGGACCTTTGGTCTGACCCAGTACGGCCATTCTTATGTTCTAGGGGTCATAAGCTAAATATGAGTCAACAGGGTGACATTGTTGCAAAAAAAGCAAACATGATTCTGGGATGCATTAACAGAAGTGTTGTGAGCAAGACAAGAGAAGTCATTCTTCTGCTCTACTCTGCACTGATTCGGCCTCAGTTGGAGTATTATGTCTATTTCTGGGCACCACATTTCAGGAAAGATGGGGAGAAATTGGAGACGGTCCAGAGAAGAGCAACAAAAATTATTTCAGGTCTAGAAAATATGAGCTATGAAGGAAAGCTGAAGGAATAGGACTTATTTAGTTTTGAAAAGAGAAGACCGAGAGGGGACATGATAGCAGTTTTCAGGTATCTAAAAGGGTGTCTCAGGGAGGAGGGGGGAAAATTGTTCTCCTTGGCCTCTGATGATAAGACAAGAAGCAATGGGCTTAAATTGCTAGGGTTGCCAGATGGTTTCAACAAAAATACCAGACACACTTGACATTACATCACAATCTACATTACATCTTATTTAGAAAATACTGGATATTTACATTTTCTCATTTATATTTTCTCAATTTGTTTCCCAAACAGAAAGCTCAAATACCGGACTGTCCGGTTCAAAACCGGACACCTGGCAACCCTATAAATTGCAGCAAGCGAGGTTTAGGTTGGACATTAGGAAAAACTTTCTAATGTCAGGGTGGTTGAACATGAATACATTGCCTAAGGGAGGTTGTGGATTGCTGGAGATATTTAAGAGCAGGTTAGACAGACATCTATCAGGGATGGTCTAGAGGTGCTTGGTCCTGCCGTGAGGGCAGGGGACTGGACTTGATCTCAGGGCAGTGTTATCTTCAAGTCATCATTGTCAAATCCAAATCGAGTCTCAAGTCACTACAGTTAAAGTCTCAAGTCGAGTCTCAAGTCCCTAAAGTCACTTTCAAGTCAAGTCCCAAGTCTTAAATTTAAAAATGTCATCACTTTTGTGCAAGCCATCAATATCGGCATTTTCGGACAATTTTTTCACCAAGTCAACTTAACAAAATTAGCAAGACTCAAGTCGAGTCTCAAGTCACAAACAATGAACCCGAGTCGAGTCTCAAGTCGAGTCACCTAGGCGACTTAAGTCGGACTCAAGTTCAAGTCACGGGACTTGAGTCAACAACTCTGTCTCAAGATCCCTTCCATTTCTAGGATTCTATGAGTCTATGATTGTTTCACTGCCCCCTACTGTCAGAGTCCCTCTACTGATTCACTATCCTTTTGCTACGCCAGTCAGAGGCTCCACTTGAACAAAGGTTGTCAATTTTGCCAAATGGTGAATTGGTATTTGTAGACTGTGAACAGGAGAATTTAGGAGGAGCCCAACCATCAAATTCACTGTCATGTCTGTCCTGAACAAGGATTTTAACTGGGACCTCCAGATGTTCCCCTCTGCAAGATTAGTGAACCACCTAGATCCTAACGATCAGCTTTTCCAACAACATACCTGAGAATAAATCTCCCATGGCTATTACTTGTACTTAGAAGCTGGCAAAGCCCAATATTTTATTCATTACACTTTCTAAGTGTTTGATAAGCAAGATGATTAAAAAATGTAGTGTTCTCTCATACTGGCACAAAAAGGGAGCTCCTGAATCTCTGCTGCAGGGTGTTTCCCTGGTGCGACGGACAAAATGTAGCTTACTGCTAGGCTGTCCTTCTCATTACAGTGTAAGAAACAAGTTAGGGGCAGGAAGGATAAGGCACAGTTGGATCCAGCTGTACTCCAGCTATTGCTGGTTAGTGGATGGTCTATCCCAGCTGGTGAAAGTTAGAGCAGTCCCCAGGATCAAGCTACACAGAGAATCATGGAAATGTAACTGTTTCCATGATTGCTTCTCAGCCACTTCTAGCTAAGGCCCCATCAAATAGCCTCCCCTACTGCTCCCTGCAAGAGAGAATATTTGTAATGCCTACCTGATCTTTTCACAAAGGTTGGTCTTTGGACTCAAGCAGAACTTACATTGGCCACACTGAGGCATATAGAGTGGAATAACCTTGTCACCTAGAAGAAACAATATTTATTGGATATGGTTTGTTTAAAGTTATTATGACATTTTTTTTCAAAGTCTCATAGGCCCAGACCTCCTAGTTCTCCATTCTTAGAACTTCTGAAGCCCCTATATATGTTTAGTTCTCTGTTAGTTTTTCAACGTCTGGTTTGCTTGAGATGTTAAATATTACATTCAATATTTTAGCTTACGATATGGTTTCTAACAACATTACTTATACCATATTACATTGAATTTCTATTTTCCACACAGTATGTGATACTATAATATAGCTTAGCAGAATAATAATCCAGATGTTGTTTATATTCCCTGTCCAACACTAGAAACTGGAACAGCTCTACATTTTTTCCAAGTTAGGTCTGTCAACTGACCTTGGAATATAGGGCAGATGAGTGCTGTACAAAACACAGAATAACAGTTCTTGACCTGGAGAGCATATACAGAGGAAATGGGTTGCAGTGATCAACTCACAAAAGGGAGTGAGTTTTATTAGCAGTTATTAATTGATCTCCAGTGCATACTTCTTGTGAATAGTTAAGAAGGACTTGAGTGAGGAGATGGTGGCTAGGAAGCAAGCATTCTATGTATTTGGGGAAGCTTGGGGAAAGACAGAGCTAGGAGTGGAGCAGCAACAGGGCACAGAGACTGAAGGAGACAAGGGATGAGATAGATAAAAGCCAGAACTGAGACTCTGTCTACACTGGCAATTGAGAGACAAACTCTTGTCATTCACAGGTGCTTAACCTCCCACCTCCTCTACTTTGCCACAGCAAGCACTAGTGTAAACAGTGCATTAACGCAGCTCACAAGGGATGGAAGTTTTCTGTCCACAAAAGTGTGGACAAACAGTGTTTATACTTCCTGACTCTTAGGGTACGTCTAAACTACGTGGCTCTGTCGACGGAGCCATGTAGATTTGTTTGTTTGGCAAAGTCAGATGAAGCTGATCAGCTGTTTGTTGGCTTAGCGCGGCAGCCATGTAAATTTAAATGAAGCCACGATCATTTAAATCGCGGCTTCATTTGACTTTGCCTATGTGTCTAATCTACATGCCTCTGACGACAGAGGCATGTAGTCTAGACACAGCCCCTGTGACATGACTGTCAACACAGATGTGTTGCTAAAAGCTGTGTAGTAAAGACATACCCTGAGTTGGGCAGAGTCTGAAAGGGGAAGAAAAGGAGTTCAAATTCTGCTTGTTGGGCACATGGGAAACAATGGAGGAATTCAGAGAGGGAGTGTGATATTTAGATCACCGGGCAAAGAAAGAACAAGTTACTCACCCTGTGTATTAACGGTGGTTCTTCGAGATGTGCCCCGTGGGTGCTCCACTCTAGGTGTCGGGTCCATCCCGGCACCACTGGTCAGAAGATTTCAGAGCCATCTTCGGCCGGTCTGCGCATGCCCCCTGCAGCACGTGGCTTTCACGCCTTTGATCACGAGCGCAGACCGGCCCCCCCCGCCAGTCCCTCTCACCGCTCAGTCCCTGAAATGATAAATCAAAGGGAGAGACCCGGAGCGGAGAGGAGGGTGGGTCGTGGAGCACCCACGGGGCACATCTTGAAGAACCACCGTTACTACACAGGGTGAATAATTTCTTCTTCTTCTTCGAGTGGCCCTGTGGGTGCTCCACTCTAGGTGACTGTAGAGCAGTAACCGGAACACCAGCACTCCGGGTCAATTAATTATTGCCTGTAAAAGACAGGACTGCGGAAGCCACCGCGTGGTCTGACGCCCATCGTTGCACTATGGCATAGTGTCTCATAAAAGAAGTACTTGAAGCCCACTTAGTGGCTCTACAAATATCCGCTAGGGGAACTCCCCTGGAAAAGGCCATAGAGGTTGCTACTGCCCTAGTCGAATGTGCCCGTGGATTAGAGGGCAACGGTCTGTTATGAATAGAGTGACACGTGGGTTATGCAGAGGGAGATAAGCTTAGCTATGCGTTGAGTTGAAAGCGCCTGCCCTTTGGATCGCTGCGCTGTTGATACCAAAAGTTTATCTGTTCGGCACCACTGTCTGGTTCTGTCTATGTAGAAGGCAAGGGCACGTCTGACATCCAGTGTATGAAGCATAGCCTCCTTATTTGAGGCATGCGGCTTTGGATAAAAAGAAGGAAGTACAATCTGTTCGTTGATGTGAAACGACGAAGAGATCTTGGGAATGAACGCCGGGTGCAATCGTAGCGTCACTGCTTCTTTTGAAACAATGTGAATGGGGGAGTCGACATCATCGCTCCTAACTCACTGACTGCGCGCTGATGTAATTGCAAGCAGGAAAGCAGTCTTCATAGTTAGTATCTGCAGTGCTACGGATGCCAGTGGTTCAAAGGGGGGAAACATAAGCGTTTCGAGTAAGTCCAAATTCCACGACGGTGGAGGTGGTCTCCGAGGTGGACTTATATTATTCAGACCCTTGAGGAATCGCTTGGTGGTCGGGTGTGAAAACAATGAGAAACCCTGTATCGGACAATGGAAAGCACTGATGGCTGATAGATGAACACAAAGGGATGCCAATGAGAGTTTTGAAGTCCGCAAGTGAAGCATGTCTCGAGGACCTGGTGTAACGGAGTAGACAGCCGTCGGACATTGTTTTGAAGGCACCAAGATGAATATCTGCGCCATTTAGCAAGGTAAGTACGTCTTGTTGAATCTTTTCTACTGTGAATCAGAATGGACTTGACCTGCTGTGAGCAAAGGTTCTCATCTTGTTTGAGCCAGTTAGGAGCCACGCTGTCAGATGTAACATCTCTAGCTTGGGATGTAGAAGAGAACCCCGTTCTTGAGAGAGAAGGTTCTGGTGTAAAGGCAGAGGCCACGGAGGCCGTAGAGACATCCTGTGCAAGAACGGATACCAAGCTTGTCTGGGCCAGCCGGTGCTATCAGTATTACCGTTGCTGCCTCCATTCTGATCTTCTCCTGTGTTCTGGGAATGAGAACTATCGGAGGAAATGCGTACAGTAGTGATTTTTTCTAGTTGGTTAGTAGTGCATCGCCTAGGGATCCCTTGCCGATCCCTGCTCTGGAACTATTGGCCTCAGTGATTCGTTGTGCAATTTCCGTCAATCTTGCAATGTTATCGAAGCTATGATTGGACAAGAGCGCCGCATAATTAGCGATACGCAGGAGAAGTGTGGATGAAGAATACACCTTCCGTCCAAAGGTGTCTAGCTTTTTTGCATCCTTGTCAGCTGCTGAATTTCTGACCTGTGGGCTCTTTGCTCTCTGCAAGGCTGCGTCCACCACACCAGTGAATTAGGCTGGGTGTGTGAACAGGAACTCTGCCCCTTTGGCTGCTATGAAATATCTTTTCTCAGCCCTTTTACACGATGGGGTAACTGAAGCCGGCGTGTTCCAGATCTCTGAAGCTGACTCTAGAATTGCCTCGTCTAGCGGTAAGGCCGCTCTGGACTGATGCCTAGGGTGCAAGTTCTTCCACAACTTATGTTGTTTCGCCTGCACGTCCGTTAGTTGAACTTCCTGCGACTGTGCCACCCTCTTGAATAGGTCTTGGAATTCACGGGCATCGTCCGGTGGTGAAGGATCCGCCACGAAAACTGCGTCATCTGGGGAGGATGATTGGACATCCCCAGGGGAAACTGCAGGTGTGTGCTCCGTATCTGAAATTTGACCCGCCTCTGCATCAGAAAGGACTGATACTGAGGGGGCCGTGGGAAGGGGCGGCTTCGGTGACTGAGGTCTTTGATATTCTGGAGCATGTGGTGAAGATCGTCTATGATAAGGCTGATGGCAACAGCAAGAGTGGGAATGGGAGTGTGATCTGCCCTTCCTTATAGGGGCATGATAACTCCTGTGAGCGTGATAATCATAGTCAGGAGATGATCTCCTTGATGCATATATTCTGCCATGCCTGCTCCAATATGATCTGGGAGGAGAGTAGGTCAGCGAGTGAGATCTATGTGGAGAGACACAAACATATCTATAGGAGTAATTTGAGCAAGAGCGTCTATGAGAATTGCTATATGCAGAGGAATAAGCACCCCGTCTGAGTGACATGCAGGTGGGGAAGGCTCAGGCAAGAAGTACGGTGAAGGCGACCTGGAATGGTTTCTAGGTGCTGATTTCCTTGCTGCCTTAGTAGGAACAGCTGTCAAGGACTGCAGAGCAGCTGTCAGGTCTCCTGCTGGGTTGCCATAGTTACGCTCATCATGCACCGGCTGACAGTGTCTTGGAGGCAGAGAGGTTGATTGTAATCTCAGTGCCGAGGGGTGGGAAGACTGAGCAGCTCTACCGAGTGAATGATCTCACATGGCACGGAGTGAATGATCTCACATGGCATGGAGTGAATGGTCTCACACGGCACCCGGGGTGCTCCGTGGGAATTGCTCTCTTGCGGTGCCGGCTGCCCTGTCGGCACCGTGTCTACGGCATGGTGAGCCGTGGTCTCCCAGTGCCGCTGTCTCTTCTCTGGAGCGGCCAGTGCTCACTCCTATGGAGGGGTCAGGGGTGCCCTCAGCAGTGCAGACTCCGGTGCTGCTCCTGACTCGTCCCGCTGCTGCAGGGACGGTTCCTTGTCAGGCGGCATCGTTGGTGGCATTAGTGGCATGGCCAGCTTATCCTCCAAAGGGGTTCTGGTCCGTGCATGCTCCCTATAAGTAGGGGAAGCTGCTGCAGGAGCCCAAACTGCGCGCAGCTTGGATGATTCTGCCACAGACCAGGAAAGTGATTTAAATGCCGGTCGAATGCCCACTGTTGCTGCCTCTGACTTGTCCTGATTCACCCGCGGCAGGGGGACGGCGGGGAGAGAGCGGGTGGGAGAAGCCTTTTTCTTTTTTGTTTTAGGCACTCCTGGTGATAGTGCCCTTCTCTTCGGAGCAGTTATTTGCTCCTGTGAAGTTTGTACAGGCTGAAGAGCCTTGTCGCAGAGAAGAAGCTTGAGCCGGAGATCCCTGTCCCTGCGCGCCCGCGGAGTTAATTTCAAGCAATGAGTGCATTTTTGGGGTACATGAGACTCCCCCAAACAACGGACAAAGACTGTGTGATTGTCTGAGGCTGGCATAGCCTCTTTGCACTGGGAACACCGTTTGAATCCTGGTGTCCCAGGCATGATGAAATTGACTAGGCAAACTGCCGCACTGGCAGAAATTGACTAGAACAAAGTCTCTCTTTTTTTTCCCTTTCAAAACTAACTAATTAACAGGAAACTAACTACTGAACAAAGACTAACTATTTTACAATTCTTTCTGACAGAATTTTCTCTGTGTCTGAGGAGATCGCAAAGCTCCGCCAGCAACCTAGGATGGTAGAGAGGAACTGGCGGGGGGGGGGCCGGTCTGCATTCGTGATCACAGGCGTGAAAGCTGCAGGAGTCATGTGCAGACCGGCTGAAGATGGCTCTGAAATCTTCAGACCAGCAGCGCCTAGAGTGGAGCATCCACGGGGCCACTCAAAGAAGAAATAATTTTAGCCGCCACCTTTAGGTTGAACTAAAGATGTCGATGCAGCAAGCCAGAAAAGAAGAGGTTGCCTCACCATGCAGCTGTGTAAAAACAAAACAACACCCACACAAAAACCACCCCCCAAAAGGGGTTATAGAAGGGAAGGGGGAAGCCTGACTACAGTACAATAGCTGATCAGATGGCAAAGAGCCACCTGCTTTACTCATTGTCACAGGGAGGCTGGACTAGGTGAGTGATCCCAATTCAGATAAGCAGCTGGATCTGTAAAGGGCTGCTAATAGGTAGGTGGGAGAAGGAAGGAGTGAAATATGTTGAGCCCTAAAGAGGAAGCTGCACTGGAGTGAAGCTAGCTCCTGTGGTGGGCCCCTAGAGTAAGGGAGTTAAGGAAGCAGTCCTGTAGTAGCTGCTCTGGGAAGAAGCAGAGCTGATGGAGGCTGGGGCCCTGAAGCCTGCGATCAGTAATTGTGCTAGCACTGTGTTGTGTGTGTTTGTTAGCCTCCTTGCCTGAGTTTTGGTGTGGAGACATTAGCTTTGGATCTGGGGAGAAGTGACAGCCCCTGGTGATATTCAATAATTTGTTGCTGACCAACCCCCGGGGCATCAGTTTCAGAACCTGTTCTTTCAACTTGAGAGTGGAGAAGTGAGGAAGGAAGGGATAGAACTTGGGTGTTTCAGCAACAGGCGCAGCAGACACCAAGCTGTTCAGTCTAAATACAGTGGCTGCGTCTAGACTGGCAAGATTTTCCGGAAATGCTTTTAACGGAAAAGTTTTCTGTTAAAAGCATTTTCGGAACAGAGCATCTAGATCAGTGGTCCCCAACCTTTTGAGGTTGTCGGGAGCCAGGGGGCGTGTCCGTTTGCCCGCCGGATGCCAGGGGGCGGGGACACTTGCGCGCCCGGGGGTGGCCCCCCCATAGCTGCATGCCCGGGGGCGGGGGCCCCCCCATAGCCACGCG